TATACAGGTAGCAGATTTACTGGTAAAAATGAGGCTGGAACAATATGCTGAGACATTTCAGAGGGAGCAAATTGATGGTAAGATACTGATTGAGTTAGATGAAAGCATACTGAAGGAAGAGCTGGGAATAACTAAGAAAATACACCGTTTAAAACTATTGAACATTATTAATGGTGATCAATGTGTTTCAGTTTATGTTTAATAGATTGTTTTTATTTTTGTACATGTATACATGCACTCATGCAGTTATAAACATTAAGTTAATTGACTGTATTTAAGTGCACGTTCCAACAAGTGTTAATTAGTACTCACTATACTCAAAAGTTTCATCTATTAGAGGATGTCTTGATCTTGTACTAGGAAACTAAACAGGAAGAAATATTGAAACTGTGCCACAGTTCCAGGACTGTAGTACATGCATCATCATCCACTCTCCCCCTTGCATGGCTAGATTACATTTAGTGTGTGCATATGAGTTTACTGCATAAAATTACCAGCATTCTATCCATTTGCTTCTTAATGGCAGGATCATAATCTGAAGGAAAGAAGAGAGAGAGAGAGCAAAACGAGGATTATCATGTAAAATACACAGAATCTACGCCCACCAGAAATATTAATAAACTCAACTTTAGGGTGTGGCTCAGTAGTAATGGCTCAAGACGTACACAAAGAAAGGTCTTTCGACGCATTCTTGTCTTCTGCTCCTCTTCTTCCTGAGCTAGTAGAACACATTGATGTTGGTACTAAATGGCACCTCTTGGGTACGCTACTACACGTTGATGATAAGAAATTAGATGGAATTGAGCAGCTACAAGGACATGATGATACAAGCAAGACATTAAAGATGTTTCAACACTGGCTGACCACTACTCCTACTGCTAGTAGGAGACAAGTACTGGAAGCATTGAGAAAGAGAGTGGTTAATGAGCATACAGTTGCTAATAAATATGAAAAATATTTAAAGGAGCTTCATGATACTACTTGTAAGCTTTAACGTGCTCTCTCTCCCCTCCTCCTCCGCTTTTATTTTGAATAGTGTGTATGTAATCATCTTAATTGTTTCCTTAGATGCACCACCATCTACTGAGGCAGTTTCTATTTTTCAGATGAATATTCAATCATTGAATAAAGCTCTTGTCTCTCCTGTACAAGTGTCTCAACTGTTATACTGTAAGAGATGTATAAGTGAAGCTACTCTGGATGAAATGGAGAGGATGGATCAGAGCAGGTCACTGGATGACAAGAAGACCATTTTATTGACTGCTATGAAAGAAACAGTGTCTAATGACTATAGGAAACTTAAAAATATTGCTAAAGTGCTGTCTGATGTTGAAGGAACAAGACATATAGGCAGAGAAATAGTGACCAAATATGGTAAGGCACTGAATATTGTAATACTATTATCTGCTTATGAATATTATTATTAAAGAAGAGAAAATTTCTCAAGATGATGATAGTACAGTAGTACAACTACAGGAGGTAGCTGGCAGTAATGAAGATTGTGCTAGCAATTTATTGAGGAATAATTACAGTTCTCTCTCTCAATCAATCACTGAACCAGTTTGTTTAGCAAAGTTGCTTCATAAAGAGGTTATATCTGATGAGGTTTTGTCTTGTGTCATGTCTACCAGAGGTTCTGTCTCTGACAGCAGAGCAGTTCTCCTCAAAGCTGTACGAGATGCTGTTCACTCCAATTACAAACACCTGGAGTTGTTTGTTACTGTATTGAGGAAGTTCTCGGAGACTGCTCATATTGGTGATAATATATTTAAAAAATACAGTGAGTATAACCATAGTTTAAATCCTCTATTGATAGATATTTTAGAACAATGTTTTCCTGATGGCAACAGTTCTATTGAAGAAATTGAATGTTTATTAGGCACAGCAGCTATTGCTCAAGGTTTGTATTATGTATTATGTTATGATGTGATTGTATTACATACATCAAGGTCAAGCTGTTCGTAGAATACTGATTCCACGTAACATGAGTCCAGAGTTTACATCAATTAGAACCAAGTTTGGTGCAATGTTCTATAAAATTCGGACAATTATAACCAGCAAAAATATTGATTCAAATGAGCTTAAGAAGCTCATTACTGACTGTTTCTCTGATCTTAAACCACTGCTAGAAAATATAGAAAATATAGACAATATATTGGATGTTGTTAAAGAAAAATGTAATCTTATTGATGTCAATTGTTTGCAAGTAATAGTACAAACATTTAATATCACAGAAGGTCAGGAACACTTAGACTCCTACAAAGAAGCAGTAAATCAGTTTTGTAAATCAATGAGATCTCGTCTGTGTGTTGATCAAGTACTACAAATTGTCAGAACACCAACTCGTTTAGCAAGTGAAACAGTTGTGTTTATACTTGATTGGAATCCTGATACCAGCACAATTGAAGATATCAAAAATCTTTTATCAAAGTTGCTTGATACTAATTTCCAAATTGAGAAGATTGGCACTGGTCAATCAGTTGTAGTAACCTGCTACTGTCCTGCTAAATACACTGGCTCACTGATAATGGCTGTCTTTGATAAGATAGAGATGCTGCAAAAGAGAGGATTGAAGAAATTTATATTAGGCAACAGTACAGTGTGGGATGCTCAAGTTAGAAAATGCCTGAACTTACTCATTTTTTCTTATTGCACGCATGTAGGTAGTGACTGACTTACTGGTAGAAATTAATGATTTGAAAACTGCTCTAAAAGACAGAGATGAAGCAATTATGTGTATGTGATCTGTATTGATCCTTGATTTAATTATATTAATTTACATTATAGCTACTGAAATAGAGTTAGCAACACTCAAAGAAAAATCAGAAAGCAGATAAAAGAAATAGAAGCATTACAAATAGATCTTGAAGAGAGTCAATGCATTAAAGGTATGATTCCTATCATA